TGTAGGCAGAATACTGAGAATATTGCATACATAATAAATAAAGCACTCAGGGTAAGACTGTCTAGGAAAGTAAGAGCGGTAGGTAAAGGCAGAAAGAGAGACAAGGGAAGGAGAGGGCAAAGAGGATGGGGCAGGGGTGTGATAATTCTCTTCCTGGGGAGACAGTCATGACCAGTTTCTGTCACTTGTGAGCTTGACAGTCCTTGCTGCCACTTTCCCCCAATGCATGTGGAAAGCAACTTTTCCAGAGAGAAATTCTAACTTACCATCTTAACAAAATTAACAGAACTTCCGCTTTTGTCCTAGGAAGGAATTTGGGAGCTGGTTTTCTCTGAACGTATTGCATGTGGCACTTCATCTTTGTGGAGCTGGCATTTAGGATGTCATGTAACTGGATATGAGTGCTCTATTAAATTGGTGACTCATGACAAGTTTTAAAGAAGAATTTGAAATAAAGAGGGTGTCAGGACAAACAAAATTCACAGGAACTGTGACGCAGCCCCAGAACCAGTTTTTAACAAGGTTACATAATCATTAACCATTGTTCCTCTACCTCTTGTGTTTGGAGGCTGCTTTGCTGTGATACTTTATAAAAAGTACCATTTGCTTTAATGATGAGCCACAGAAACGGACATGGGGCACAGATGGTAGGATACTTGCTTCATGTGCACCAATTTCTGTCTTTGATCCCCAGCACCAAGTAAACCAGGCATGGTGGCATCAGCCCGTAATCCCAGAACTTGCAGGTAGCAGCAAGAGGAGGAGGAGTTCAAGATTATCCTCAGTTCCATCCCAAGTTCAAGGCCAGCCTGGGTTACCCTGCCTTAAAATAACTAATTATTGGTTAAACTAAAGATCAGCACATGTACCTGTTTCTTCCATGTGAGTGGTTAATGCACTATAGGGACAAGTAAGTCTGTGTCAAACCTTGTGAGAAGTCTTCAAACTAGCATGATGGAGCCTGTCTTCAATCCCAGCTGCCTGGCTTTTATAGCAAGACAGTTGTTGGGTTTTGGTTTTCAGGTCCTTTGTGATGTTTGTTTTGTTTTGCTTTTTGCTTATTGTTGTTGTGTTTGTTTGTTTGTTGTTGTTGTTTTTTTGTGGAGGTGGTCGTTTCAAGACAGGGTTTCTCAATGTAACAGCCCTAGCTGTCCTGGAAATAGCTCTGTAGACCAAGCTGGCCTCAAACTCACAGAGATTCACCTGCCTCTGCCTCCTGAGTGTTGTGCTACCACTGCTCAGCAATTGTTTTTAAATAAATAAAGATAATAGCAGTGCCAAAACAGTAATCTTGATTATGGTCCATTCTTGAAAACTATCAGTTATTCTAAAGCCAAGGCAATATGCTAAGAACCATTTGCAAAACTCTATGCGGATTCTCCACATACTCACACTTCAGTCTGAACTTACTATACAGGTGAGTCACTTTAAAAATGAATTTCTTGCCGGGCAATGGCATGTCTTTAATCCCAGCACTCGGGAGGCAGAGGCACGTAGATCTCTGTGAATCCAAAGGTCAGCCTAATCTACAAGAGCTAGTTCCAGAACAGGCTCCAAAGCTACAGAGAAACCCTATCTTGGGGGGGAAATTGAATTTCTTGAGGGCGAAAGAAATGGAGAGTTCTTGTTGCTCTTACCAAGAACCCAGGTTCAATTCCTGGTACCCACATAATGGTTCACAATCATCTGTAACTTCAGTTCCAGAGGACTTCATACCCTCTTCTGACATTTGCAAACACCAAACATGCATGTGGTGTATGTATAAGAAATAATTTAAAATTCTTTTAGACTCCAAACTTGACTTTCTCAGGAGGAGCTTTGAAAGAGAAGGAAATTCCTAACAGACGAAGTTGAAATCCTCCTCTCAGCTCTCGCGGGCCCTTCATTCCCATTACATCTGTACTTGGACTCGAGGAGGCACAGAATCATAAATACTCTGTATTTTTCCAGGTTCACAAGTCTCTTCTGGCTGGCTGTTTCCGTGTTGAGCCTTGAACCTTTTCACACACCTGAGCACTGAAGCTCACTAGCATGCTCCATTGTCTTGGGCCAAATGCATCCACCAGGTGCTTCTTAGCATGTGTGGTGTTTTACAACATAGTAGGTATTCTAGAAAGATTTAACAGAAGACAGAAGAGAGAGAGACGCCTTTTGGCCTTATGAAAATGTGCTAAAAAATTTCTTAAGGACACACAACAAAATGTGGTCATGTTTATATTTTGCAAATCTTTAGAGAAAAATAATTTTGGATTGTCTTCTCAGTGTAATTTGAATTAATTTTTAAATGCAAAGTATAATTATGTTTTAAGCAGGTACTACTTTCCTCTGAGTCATACACCAGTGTTTGAAACCAAGGAAGAACAACAATCTTATAAACTGTTATGTCATGACCTGAATCCTGAGGCCAGTGTTGTATGGTGCCTGAGTCATTGGCTACTGAGGCCTTCCTATAAGGAAACGCTCACTAACAACAGGCAACAAGGGATTGGGAAATTTTTTGAACACTTATTACTGTAACCAGAAAAAAAAGGCCTTGAAACTGTATTGGGAAAATTTTTTTAATCAGAAGAATTAAATTCTGTTCAATTAACTTTTTCACAAATACAAAATATCACCTCTTTTTATTAAGAGTTGTATTGTTCTCCGCCAGGGAGTGAAAATAGACTGGGGTGGAGAAAGTGGGGTTATGCTCGGTGGGCGTGAACTCACCTGCCACTACAAGGACAAGTATGGACTAGGCCCTAGAGAACGGGGGATGGGGGACAGATGTCTGGGAGACTCGAGACCCTACACACATTTATAAAGAAATAGATCCTTAAAACAGTCATAGTGTAGCTTCTGTGAGTGTGAGGAAGTCCCAGCACGTGAACTTGATACCTTGGCTCGTTTTGCTGTCTTCAGATCAAATGTGTGTAGTTGCTCTTGTGAAAAACAAAGTGGCCTAAACCGCGTAGGACAGCTGCTGTACCTGCCGTAGTCTGTGCAACTGAAGGAGGCGGAAAGTTTCACACTGCTCATTCCCAAGCAAAGTTTACTAGCTAGCTCTTGTAAATGCTCAGCCTTCCCTCTGCCTTTGGGCCCACCTCACAGGCCTAGCCAGAAGACTGCACTTTGAAACACAAAGCCACTTGTCACTTGAGTTTATTCAGCCAGGGTCAATTGTGTGAAAACAAAGTCAAGGCAATTGTTTGATATAATTGACTAAAGAAACTGGTTTAACGGGTTAGGAGAACTTCATTGGGCCCCATAGTTGAATGTTTCTAAGGTAATTTAGTAAGCTAAGATTCCTGTGACGTCACAGTGGATTTTAAAGAATGAACATCAGAACAAAAGAAAAGTACACCAAAACCCTAGCTAGAAGGGGAAACTTGCCCTTCCAAGATGTTCTCTCCACTGTTCAAGCATTTTCTCTTACTCCGTGTTCTGCCTGCTGCCTGGGTTTGTTCTTTCTTTCTAAACTTTGCACATTTAGCACCGCCTCCCCATCTCCCTGCACCCTCTCTCCTCACCGTCAGGGAGGCTAGTCACCTACTGTTCTCTTGGGTTTCCAATGTTTTTATGAGTATGAGATGTGTGTGTGTCACAGCACAGATGGGGAGGTCACACAGCAAATTTGGAGTTGGTTCTCTTTCTCCCTTTGTTGTAGTCACGTCATTGCATCGGGGCCACACGCCTTTCTCTGCTAGGGTCTTTGCTGCCTGAGCTGTCTCACTGGCCCACTTAACAGATTACTTTTTCTGGCTCCTTAGTTTTTCTGAGACAGGGTCTCCCTACACAGCTCTGTAGTTCTGCTTGACCTTGAACTCACAGAGATCCAGCTGCCTCCGCCTCCCAAGTGCTGGGACTAAAGGCAGAGGACACTATGCCTGGCTTCACTTACTGTTTTCAGAAACTGAGTAGACTGCCTTCCTCAGAAATAGTGAAGTACTAAAGTGCAGATAGAGCTTAAAATTTGTAAGTGTGTAGATGCTAAAGTAGACTTAAGAAGAAAGTGTAAGCAGGTGTGGTGGTGTATTCCTGTAACTCCCACTTAAGAGACAAAACCGTGACTAGATCCTCACAGAGAAACCTTGCTTTGGTGGGGGGGGGGGGTTAAATGATAACTTTTATAGGTTTGGTTTTTGGTTTTTTAGTGTGTTAACTATAGTTTTTTAAATTCTTAATCATATAAAATGATTCAGGTACATGAATTATGTTTTAAAAACTAAAGAAGATATGAAGAAATAATCATTGAATGCTTGTTACATATTTTAAAAAATAAAGTCTAAGCACACCTTTAATCCCAGCACTCGGGAGCCAGAGGCAGGTGAATCTCTGGGAGTTCGAAGCCAGCCTGGTCTTTAAGAGCTAGTTCCAGGACAGGCTCCAAAGCTACAGGAAAAAAAAACTTGTCTCAAAAAAACCAAAAAATAAATAAATAAACAAGCAAATAAATAGTCTAAGTGAAAGATTGTATTTTATGTAGTGAATTTTCATTAAAAGAAATAATATGTATGTGCATGTGTTTGTGATGTATGTATGTATGTGTGTGTGTGTGTGTGTCATTTGGTTGCTCAGATGAACAAATAGAAACTGTGGGTGCCCATTCTTCCAAATTAATATCTATTAGTATTTTACATTTTCATTTAGTGTTTGCAATCATTATTACTTTATTTATAATGACTGTATTGATTAGTCATTTTTTAACCTCCATATGTATACAGATTTTTTAGCATTTCATGGGCAAGAATTGTGGTACACCCTGGGCATAGCATTTAGCTCAGTGCGGGCATGAGATCAGGGTATGTGGTGTGAAGCTCAGTGCGGGCATGAGATCAGGATGTGTGGTGTGTAGCTCAGTGCGGGCATGAGATCAGGGTATGTGGTGTGTAGCTCAGTGCGGGCATGCAGTCCTGGTTTCAGACGCCATGTCAAGAGAAAAATTGCTACAGGACTGAAGCATTGGGGTGACTTCAGTTTGTTACGTTTTCTGCAGTTTAATGACATCTGTGTTTCTTTAGCGTGACAGAGCCAATTCACTGCTAAATCAGACTCAGCAACCCTACAGATACCTCATAGAGTCTGTGCGGCAGAGGGATTCCAAGATTGATTCACTGATGAAGTGTACAGCTCAACTTGAGAAAGACATCAGGTAAACCATCTACACATTTTTATTTGAATAATAAAGACACTGTCAGTCTGCTGCTGTAGATTTATTTGGTTTGTACATTTTAAATAATTTAATCATGAACATAGTCTTCAGTGATCTAAGGATTCAAACTTCACGGCACTGTGGAGAGGCTCACTAAGTAAAGTGCTTGCTGTGTGTGCTGGTGTGTGGGCCTGAGCTTCAATCTCCAGGACCCACTCAGGTGGTTGGTCCTCGGGAGTCCCCGTGCTTCTCGGGCGAGATGGGGCACAGAGACCGGAGGATGCCCTGTCTTAAACGAGACAGAAAGCAGTGAGTGACTCTTGACCCTCCATCCACCATATGCAGCTTGGCTTTACACACCTGTACTAACATGTTATCATCACATTAGGTGCTCATATTTCACCTTGTGATCAGAAGTCTTAGCATGAGCCAGGCAGTGGTGAGCATGAAAATCATGGTATACTTGCTAGCAAAACACTGCCCATGCTAAGGGCACAAGCTCCAACTTTTTCTTGTCCTCCTAGATTCCTTACTGAGCCAGGGGCGGCCAGGAGGAAAGGATTATAATCACGTGTCATCTGGAGAGTCAAGATGGCTTTTTAAACAGGTCAACTTTACACATTTACTGAGATTTGTATTGACTTTGCCAAGAAAACTCTGGGCTTATCTGCCTCTGATCCTTTATATGAAGTAACCCGTGAATTACCTCAGTGTCCATAAATAAATTCCTTTCCAACACCTTTATTTAAAACTGGATCTATATTAAGGGGAAAAAAAACCTTTATGCAAAAGATTTGCTCCATTCATTAGTCACTCACATTCTTTCTTTCTGACTCTTTATTTTTTTTTTTTGTTTTGTTTGTTTGTGTGTGTGACAGTGTTTATACCTCTGGCTGACCTGGACTTGCTCTGTAGACCAGGCTGGCCTCAAACTCAGAAAATCTGCCCTCCTGTGCCTCCCAAGTGCAGGGATTAAAGGAATGCATCAACACACCAAGCCAGTCATTCACATTTGTTAACCTGTTCGTTTATGAGTCTGGGGTTTTATTTTTTGTTTTATGCGTGTGCACGTGGCAGCAAGCAGCCTTACATGATGTGCCCTTTGCCCTCTTACGGCCACCACTTCCAGTTTTTTAAACGGCAGAAAAAGTGATGCTGCATGACTAGAACAAGATTTGAATCATGAGTAGTTGGTTATTCAGCTTAGTTATTAAATTTAAGATTGACATAAAAATTTAATTTTCTGAATAATCATTAAACCACCATGAATGTGAAATAAGAGAAAAATTAGAAAATAGGTTTTTTAAGATGTACAAGTGAAAAAATGAACTGTCATACTTAATTCTGAAATATGATGGTTCTTTGAATGCAAATCATCTTTGTCTCTTGCCATTCCTATCACACCAGAAAAATTGTTCCAGAGCTCTATTGTTGCTCTGAGTTTTTGGTGTTATGATAAAATAAAGTCACATGTATTGTAAATATCAAAATAAGTAAGTTTATTTCTAAAATTACTGTAAAGTTTAAAATGTTTCTTATGCTGGGCGGTGGCGGCACACGCCTTTAATCCCAGCACTTGGGAGGCAGAGGTGGGCGGATCTCTGTGAATTCGAGGCCAGCCTGGTCTACAAGAGCTAGTTCCAGGACAGGCTCCAAAACCACAGAGAAACCCTGTCTTGAAAATTAAAAATAAATAAGTAAATAAATAAATAAATAAATAGAATGTTTCTTATGTGATTACTAACAAATTGATTCCGTTTATTGATGGATTTCACTATAAGGTACATGTTGTAAACAACAGAAATTTCTATGTTCTGCCCTGGATGATCACTAATTATGAAATTAGTTAGTTTAGGGAAACTGAGGAAGAAACTTAAGATGGGCCTTCTTCTTGTAATATATTTATTATAGTTGCAATTTTTATATCATTTTACTTTTATAAACTTGAGAAAGGAGATATAAAAGCCTGGAGAAAAATACCTCTTTTACATTTGCCTTGAAATACTTATTCTGTTAAGAATTAAAGTGACTTTTGGGAGACCTTACCTCATGCTGGATTGCCTTGCCTGCCCATGATTTAGGAGGAAGAGCATGGTCCTGCCTCAACTTGATGTGTCTTGCTTTGTGCAGGCCCATGGGAAGCCTGCGCCTTTCTTAATGGAGATGGAGGAGTGAATGGGGAAGTTTGTGTCTGGGAGTAGACTAGGGAGGGGAAACTGTAGTTAGTATGTAAAATAAATAAAAAAGTTAAAGAAAAATTAAAGTGGCCAAAAACATTTAACATAGAAAAAATAATATGTAGCTGTTAGAAAAGATTACATAGATAAATTTATTCCTTGAAAAAGTAAGCAGCTTGTCCTCCAATAACATGTGATTCTGTTTATTCCTGCCTGGTCGCTCTCTGTAGTCTTAGCCATCATAGTATAGTGCCTCCCTATGTTCTGCCCTGGAAAATCGCCAGTTTCTCTCTTAATAATATATAACAAAGAAAGAGAAGTGGGATCAAGTAGAATGTTTATTAAATGTAAGACTTTGCGTTGATAAATGTTGAAGCCGGGTGACAGATATATACGACTCTCCTTTCCTCTTTTAAAATACTCCTTAATAAATAAAGTAATAAACTTGGGACTGGGGCGGGGGGGGGGGGTAAGATTTATTATTTATTATGTATGCAGTGTTCTGCCTGTATTCTGCCTGCAGGCCAGAAGAGGGCACCAGGTCTCATTACAGATCGTTGTGAGCCACCAAGTAGTTGCTGGGAATGGATTTCAGTGCTCTTAACCTCTGAGCCATCTCTCCAACCAATAAACTTGTTTTTTTAAAAAAAAAATAAATAAATAAAAAAGCCTCTTAAGGGCAGACTGGACAGGCAGGAGAAACGAATAGGTAGTTGGGAGTAAAGTAGTATTGCGCTTGCAGAGAACACCAGAGTTTACTTTCCAACACCCGCACGTGGTAGCTCCCACTGCCTGTGCTCCCACCCTAGGGTACCCTCCCCCTCCTCTAGTTTCTGCAGTTACCCGCGCTCACATGTTCACACACCCACACAGCTCACACACGTGTGCACAGAATTTAAGAGTAAGAGAAGTAAGAGGAAGTACAAGCCGAGGGAGGCGGCATGCTGACTCTGTAAGTAGCTGCGGGAATTACAGTGCAGCCAGAACAAATCAGTAAATCTAGTATCTCGTCAAACTTTCTGTAACAATAAAAATGTCCATGTCTGCTCTCTTAAGTATGATGGCCACTTCCCACATGTTACTGAGGAACAAATTCCTTAGTTCTATTTAAATTAATGTTCACTTTAATTGTCATATTGACTAACGGCGATGATATTGAACTATCAGCCAACCTCTTCATCTCTGAAAGTGGTGTTAACCTAATTGATTTGGTTGTCTGAGGATTAAGATACAGTTTTTAATATGTATAGCATAACATCTAAACATCATAGGCTCTCTTAAGCAGTTGTCGTTGTTGGTACTCATGTGACTCCTGACAGATCTGTGTATCGATAATGATCTTAAAAATGAGAAATAACATTTCTTAGGATGTTGGATTTGGACAAAAAGTAAAACTGCTATAATTATAGCAACAGTAATCTTAAGTCAATGTGGAATTAGCTATCAGAATATTTATTTGAAACAGGGTCCCACTGTAACCCTGGCTGTCCTGGAACTGGCTACTTAAACCAGGTTCCCTTGAACTCACAGATCCACCTGCCTTTGTTTCCTGATGTCGGGACTGAAGGTGTACACCACTATGCTTGCATTACCAAAATAGTGTTTCATAAATTCATAATATATTTTAATAAATTCTGAACTAATATTGGATGTGATATCTTGTTGCCAGGTGAAGCAACTGTCATCTATTGTGAAAAGTCAAAGTAGTGTAATTGTGGCATTAGAATTCTGTCATAAGCTCTGCCTCTTCGTGTATGAATAATAAGGTGTGGTGATGACATTTAAAAGCCACTTACAAGCCTGGCTCGGAGGGGAAGAATACTTGCTGTGTGAACACGAAGACTTGAGTTCAGGGCCCAGCACCCACTTAAAAAACAACTGAAAAGGCTTGATGTGGCCACACACACCTGTAAGGCAGAAAGTGGGGTCACTGGGGCTTGCTGGCTGCCAGCCTAGCTCCAGATTCAGTAAAAGACAATCCCAAGGGAGTAAGGCAGAATGGTAGAAGAGGAAACCTTCTATCTTCCTGTGGTCTCCACATTGGCATGTACACCGGCCCTTATAACACACATGCCTCCACACACACAAGTTAATAAGGTTGTTTATGGTCATCCTCAGCTGTGTATGAGTGTTAGGCCAACCTGGGATACATGAGACCTTAACAATCAAAAGAACTGCGGAAATGAATTATTTTCTTTTAAAATTAAACAATGCCATTCGTACTATTGCTAGCCCTTGCAAGTTTAAACAATTATACAATTTATTCAGTCAAGCACAATACCAATGTGCTACGCCACACTGCCAGACCTATCTATACAGTGCACTTAGTATCCAGGAAGGTTAGAATCAATATGTGCTGAAATAAAATCATCAGAAGCTGCTGGAACGCTCACTGTAAGATGTTGCTAGTAACTGCTTTGAATTCCCCTGTCATTAAAGTAGTAATCTAGTCTAAAAGTAGTACGTTAACCCTCCACCACGCACAGGAGACAGTCAGTCTGGAAAGTCCAGTGTGATCTCTACTTTGGATCTGTGGGGAGCATGGAAAGAGAATAATTAGCATAAGCTTTCTTTCCCTGCTGTCAGTTCTCAGTTTATTCTTAACTAGTAGTTAGAGAAGAAAAGATTACATTGTTAACTTCTCTTACAAGGCTAAGCCAGAGTATATTGATCCAGGAAGTTAAGGTACAATATATCAGGAATATGTTTTCATATAGCAGGTGAAGCAGAGCCATAAACATGAATTCCTAAGTAATAATTAACAGCGAATTGAACAATTATGGGTGTAATATAACATTCAAGATAGACGTGCTCAGAAGGGGGTTTGTTTTCTAGCTTTATGAGTCACACTTGGAAGCTTTATATTTTTAAAAGTAAGTTTCCATTGTTATAAACTATGTCTTTATGAAGACTAGATTTCTGCTGAGAAAGTACATAATATCAGGATTGTGGATTTAACAGTCATCACATGGAGTTTTATAAATTCCCATGTTAAAAGTAGTGTCCCTTGTGAATTAGATATGTCATAGCAAAGACTAAGACTTTGAAAGTATATCCCAGGTCTTCCGGTCACAGAAATGTGGTCTGGAGCAGCCATGATACATGTGGTAAACTGCTCTCTTTCAGACTGCACAGTTATTTTTCTGTGTTATCCACCCAGCCTGGATTCCATAGTGTGTGCCTGTTTTCTGCTTAACTGTAGAACACTTGCTTTATTCTTGAAGAGTTAAATAATATAGCCAAAGCTTTTCTAGAGAATATCCGGTCAGAATCCTTTAATTGCTCCAACATTCCATTCCCATTGCACTGTATTTTATTTAATGGGCTTGTTGGTGTTAGAGAGAGAGAGAAACAGAGAGAGAGAGAGCGCGCGCGCGCACACTGCACATGAGCAAGTGTTTATGCGTTGTGTGTGTATTACTTACATTTAACCTAAACACTCCTTGAAAAGACCTAGTTCTGTTTATGGGACTTGACTTTCATTTTGAGGAGTGTACATCTTAAGATGAAATACAAATAGCTTTGAATTTGAGCATTTCAGGAGCATCTGATGCTTGCCATGCCTTAGAGCCTGGTGGAACGTGGCACTTTGTCCTGGACACCATTTTGTTCTTTTCAGCTGCTCAGCTTAGTAGGATCCCTGGCGCCTACCGCTGCATGTTAGTTTGTTTTTCTGCTGAGCTGCTCGCCTTTATTGGCATTTAATTACTGTTTTCCTCTGAAGCCTGTTTTTCATCTCTGTTAGTAATGGTGTGCAGCATTTATGTAGGGTTTTATGTGTTCAGCACTTTATGTAATCATTCACCAGGTAATTCACATAGCCTCTGACATACATGAGGAGCTTACGCTTTTACAGATGTGGAAACCCTGTTCTGCTGCAGGCTGCACAGCTGAGTGAATGGCACAGTGGGAAACAGGCAGACCTGCCCTGCTCTCCTCAGACAGGTGCTTCGCAGGGAAGCTGACTTCATGGGAGGAGGTGGGATGTTTTCTGTTTGAGTCCTCGGGCTCGCCAGTTCTTCCAGAGTGCTCATTATATTTAAGTTTAAAAAAAAAATCTTCTAATATTTTTGTGATTGGTGACTTTTTGTTAACTAACTTGAAGATGTCTTGCAACAAAATGCTTCTCATTAACTTCACCCTCACAGATTTTTGTCTCAACATTTGAGAAACTGAGCTATTTTGATTTATTATTGCTTTTCTCAATTCTTACAGAGCTGGTCACATAGATTTTTTTTTTTACAAATGACATTATATGAACTATTTCATCTGATTCTTCCCATTAATTTCTGTATATCAAATAGTAAAATTGCAGATAATATAAAGCAGTTCACCATCATTTCTTAGGATTATTATGATCTTACAGGGGACTCTGTCATAAATCAGAACTTACCAATGAGAAAATCACAATGTAGTCATAGAATTTTAATACTGAACTAAGAATTTGGAGACAAATTTATTTTGCAAAGTTTAGAGAAGACTGATTTATTTAAATTATGTCCTTCAAAATTTTCCTATGTGACAAGATAAAAACCACTGTAAGTTCTAGGGATAAATGCTTCCATTCGACTTCTAATGCCCTGTGTTGTAGTGTGTGTGTGTGTGTGTACATCTCCTTTCTTCCTGCCTCCTTGTAGCATTTCAGGAGTGAGCAGTGGGGAACACTGATGTGTACCCACACAGGCAGGAGTCGCGCTGTCACACGCCTCTTACACAATAGCTGAGCCACTCGCTCAGTTAACATTACAGTGTCTGCTCTGCTGTGTCTGGACTACAAACCCCATGTGTCTCCAGTTCAGACCACCAAATGTATGTTTATTCTTTGTGTTTACTGTCTCTTAACTCACACAGCATGGTCACTTTTTAAAACTTGTTTTCTTTCCAGCAATCTAAATAAAGAAAAGTCAGCCCTGCTGCAGACAAAGAATCAAATGGCACTGGATCTGGAGCAGCTTCTAAACCACCGAGAGGTACTTTCCCACCATGTGCAGTGCTCACCTCCTGAGCACTCCCAGATCCATGTTTGCACTAAGATGATTGGCTGCCGGGGTCCTGTGTTCCTCATTTGATCTGTGATGTCTTGTATTTCTAGAGCTAGCTCTCATTTCTGGAATGCCTTTCTAATGTCTCCGTCACTGATTTTCACATTGTGTGACTACTACCTGCTTTATTTGTTTCTGCCATAAGACATTAAGTTTCTTCAGTGTGCCCTGTCTCACCTGTCACCATGCACTCCGTCCTCCTGTGCAATAGTGGACTTTAATTCAAGGGCTTTGGCGGTGGGTCTCCCGTGCCTGAGGCTGCCCTCCAGCTCTCTAGCCAAGGACAGCTGTGAGCTTCTTCCCCTCCTTCAACTCCTAAGTGCCAGGATTCTGGTGTGCACCACCATGGGCAGATTTGTAAGGCTCTTTTATATTTTTTAATTGTTGCTCACCAAATGTTTTTAATTCTTTGAAATTTTAATTTTTTAATTTATAAACTTTATTATAAACCGTTTCATGCAGTATATTTTAATGACATTCATCTCGTTCCCTCAGATCCCCCACCTCTCAACCTACTACCTTTGTGTTCTCTTTCACCCTTCCCCAGACCGCCCACCCTTCCTTCCACCCTTCCTCCCTTTTTAAATCTATCTAGTCCAGTTCGTGCTAGCTGATTATTTTGTGGTTTAAATCATATTTATTAGATAATATAAACAGGGCCAGGTATATAGCTCAGTTGATAGCCTGCTTACCTGGCATGCACAAGGCCTTGGGTTCATTCCAAGTACCAAATAAAGCTGAGCACCTATCATTTAGGCAGCCAGCCAAGAGAAACAAGAAGGTCAGAAGTTCAAGGTTGCCTACCTAGTAAGTTTGAGGTTAGCCTGAGATGCATGCGCCCCTACCTCAAAAAAAAAAAAAAAGATATATAAACAGTATGATTCAACTTTGAGGACATTAATTTCTCTTGTTTCTTTTGAATATTATTATTACCACCATCAATATGTAAAATAACCTCACCACCCCCAAAACTCTCTCATGCCTCCTTTGAGCTGGCTTCCTTTTCCCCCATCCCGTGCCTTGACATTAACTTCCCTATTTTCTTTACCTGTAGTTTGACCTTTTATAGAAAATCATGTAAATTAAATTAGCAGCATGTAGCCTTTTACACCTGGCTTTTTTCACTTTACTGAGTATTTATATCATGTTATATGGCTTCAACACAGTCTACTAATTCATTTGCCAGTTGATAGCTATTTGAGTCATGCTATGCTACTTTTAATTTTTTATTTTACTCTTATATTAATATTGCAATGTAATATACTAGTTATAATTTTATAGCTATTTGATGATTTTTGTCATTTGTTGTTTCATTTTAAAACACATTATTGGGCTGGAGAGATGGCTCAGTAGTTAAGAGCACTGGCTATTCTTCTAGAAGACCTGGTTTCAATTCTCAGCACCTACATGCAGTTCACAGCTGTCTGTAACTCCAGTTCCAGGGGATCTGACACCTTTACACCAATGCATATAAGATAAAGTTAAATAAATTATTTAAAAATAAAAAATTACTAAATCTACAGATATCACCACTCTAGACAATTGTATTATAATTGTATGTAGATATTTGTGCAAAATATGGGCCACTGTTTCTCTTGGGTACATACTAGAGCTCAAATACTGGGTTTCAGGGTAAAGCATGTGTTGGTAAGAAACTGCCAAGCTTTTCTGGGTGAGTGTCCCATTGCACGTTCTATGCAGTGATAGGAGGGCCTGGAGCTGGTCCTCACCAGCTTTGACAGTGATGGGAGGGTCTAGAGCTGGTCCTCACCAGCTTTGACAGTGATGGGAGTGCCTAGAGCTGGTCCTGCCCAGTGGTTGGTAATGATGGGAGGGCCTGGAGCTGGTCCTCCCCAGCGGTTGACAGTGATGGGAGGGCCTAGAGCTGGTCCTCACCAGCTTTGACAGTGGTGGGAGGGTCTAGAGCTGGTCCTCACCAGCTTTGATAGTGATGGGAGTGCCTAGAGCTGGTCCTCCCCAGCGGTTGGTAATGATGGGAGGGCCTGGAGCTGGTCCTCACCAGCAGTTGACAGTGATGGGAGGGCCTGGAGCTGGTCCTCACCAGCGTTGACATTGGTGGGAGGGTCTAGAGCTGGTCCTCACCAGCTTTGACAGTGATGGGAGGGCCTGGAGCTGGTCCTCACCAGCTTTGATAGTGATGGGAGGGCCTGGAGCTTGTCCTCCCCAGCGGTTGACAGTGATGGGAGGGCCTGGAGCTGGTCCTCACCAGCTTTGACAGTGATGGGAGGGCCTGGAGCTGGTCCTCACCAGCGTTGACATTGGTGGGAGGGTCTAGAGCTGGTCCTCACCAGCTTTGACAGTGATGGGAGGGCCTGGAGCTGGTCCTCACCAGCTTTCATAGTGATGGGAGGGCCTGGAGCTGGTCCTCCCCAGCGGTTGACAGTGATGGGAGGGCCTGGAGCTGGTCCTCACCAGCTTTGACAGTGATGGGAGGGCCTGGAACTGGTCCTCCCCAGCGGTTGACAGTGATGGGAGGGCCTGGAGCTGGTCCTCCCCAGCGGTTGACAGTGATGGGAGGGCCTGGAGCTGGTCCTCCCCAGCTTTGACAGTGATGGGAGGGCCTGGAGCTGGTCCTCCCCAGCGGTTGACAGTGATGGGAGGGCCTGGAGCTGGTCCTCCCCAGCGGTTGACAGTGATGGGAGGGCCTGGAGCTGGTTCTCCCCAGCTTTGACAGTGATGGGAGGGCCTGGAGCTGGTCCTCCCCGGCGGTTGGTAGTCCTTAGTGTAGTGTTTCAGTCCAGAGCATTTTCCAGCATACTGTCGTAATCATTGCTTCTTCTGGTCACATTTCTATCATTTCATTTCTAAAATATAACATTTCAAGAGAAATCCCTGATTTATGAGACTACTAAAGTTGTTTTCTGGTCTGGAACAGTGTGTCAACTGCTTGGGATGGAATCACTGAGAGAATATTGGAGAGAGAGATTGGCTGGGGGACTGTCGCTAGAAACATTTCCGAGGTGCCTGTCCTAGAAGTGGTGTTGGGGGGCTGGAAGGTTGTCCTCACTAGAAATAGGGGAAAGGCTGGAGAAACCACTCAGTTGCACCCTGGGCTTGGTTCTAAGAGTTGTAATAACATCTGGCTCCTGTAGACAACGGCATGTATATGATTCACAAGCAGGCACACACATACACATAAATTAAAATCACATTCAGGAAAAAAAGAAATGGCTTTGGGGGTGAATTCTCTTAGAGGTATCTTTTATATCTTCTTCTGCCATGGTAGAAGAGTCAAGCGGGGGCAATCATGACAACGCTTGCCTTGAGACAGCACTCTAGATGCTGAGGCGGAGGCTGTGCTAAATAGTGAAACTCACTGAATTGATATTTTCCCCTTGCTTTTTTAAATTTTTTTTTATTTTTATTTATTTATTTAGAAAACTGGGGAGGAAAGGGTTTATTTGGCTAACCCTTCAGCATTGTCAGGACAGGAACTCAAATAGGGCAGGATTCCAGAAGGCAGGAATTGATTCAGAGGCCATGGAGGGCTGCTGTTTGTGCTTCTCACGGCTTGCTCAGCCCATCTCCTCCTCCTCCTCCTCCTCCTCCTCCTCCTCCTCCTCCTCCTCCTCCTCCTCCTTCTCCTCCTTCTCTCTCTCTCACTCTCTTTCTTTTTTAAATATTTACTTGACTACATGTCAGAAGAGGGCACCAGATCTCATTACAGATGGGTGTGAGCCATGTGGTTGCTGGGAATTGAACTCTGGACCTCTAGAAGAACAGCCAGTGCTCTTAACCTCTGAGCCATCTCAGCCCCCTACCCTTGCTTTTTAATACAGTCTTATGTAACCCAGATTAGCCGCAAATTCACTGTGTAGCCAAACCTTGAACTTGTGAGCCTCCTACCTCCACCTACCAAGTACTAAGATTTCAAGATATGTCTACCATTATCCTGAGACGAAACTCGGACTTCATCCGTGCTAGGCAAGCTTTCAGTTGAGCTCTATCTCGAGCCTCTGGACTGCAGATTAGAGGAGACTGGAGGTAGATAAACCCTTCGGGAACAGATGGCAGAGCTAGGGAAAGCTCCTTGGCAGATACTCAGTCTTTCTGTCTTTCACTCTGGGCCATCTCCATCAGTACAGCCATCACTTATGCCCTAGAATTCTGCCTTCCAGCAATTGTTTCTTCACTATGAGCACCTGAGTTAGCCCGAGTATGTTTTTAAATATATTCAGTTAAGGGATCATAACCAAAGATTTCTTTTCCATCATAAAGCTGTATAAGACTTTTTCTTTTCAGAATGGCAAATCTCATTTAATTCTAAAAGATTATGCTACACTTTGAAAATTATAAAAGCAATTGTATTTATACATTTTATACATCAAACTTAAAACTACATTACTCATGAGTCCAAATAATAACTAAAAAGCTGTGAACTGAAATAATCCATCTTCCCTTCAGTTGTTTCCTCGGGCATTTTGTCCCAGTGACAAAAACCTAACTAAAGGCAACCAAGGCTACTGGCTATTTACGCTACTTCAAGGCCCTGGGGTATCACTTAAGTAAATCATGGTTTTCATCAGCTAAATTCCAGAAGCTTAAGTTAGTGGTTCAGATAGGAAACAAATGAACACTTTAAAGCCCCTCAGATCCTGTTCTGAGTTAGGGTTCCAGCTCCAGCCTTTAGCAGACTACTGAGTTCTCTCGTGCATGGCTGTACGTGTTTGGAACGGGAGCTAGATCCAAGTCACATGCTGACAATTGCTGGTAAATAAAAAAGGCACCGAGTAGGGCATTCCAAATTGTCATTTCTAAAACATCTGGAGTCTGATCATACAAAGTTTCATTTTCTGAGTTAGTGTTATAAAAATGTATACTGGAGCCTGGCAATGGAGCACACGCCCTTAATCCCAGCATTCCGGAGGCAGGGAGGCAGGCAATCCCTGTGGGTTTGAGGCCAACCT